GCTATTCATGCTTAAATGTATATAAAATATTACACTTATTTATAATGATTAATCAAGTATATCAGAGGAATTAAAATTATTAAGATTAAATTATTTTATAAAAAACGTAAACAAGCTGTGGGTAATAATTTATTAAGTTTAATTAAGTAATGTAATTTAAAAAATATTAAATGATATTTGATCTAAAATTTAAAAGTCATTTCATATTCTTTAAAGGAAATTTAACAAAAATTTTATCGGAAGGAATATCGCGTAATGCGTGTCCGCCTCGAACATATATTTCGCAAAGACAAGTTGTTATTGCTTGAACAGTTTCTAAGCCCATAGAGACTGTTTCTTATTTACTAATTTCCAATTTCCTGGTAACGTTAGGTCTAGACTTATCAGTATTCGTAAACCTAATTTTGCTGCAATTTATAATATTTTTTCATATTTACGCGGTTTCTCTTGTTGAGTGTATCTACGAGTATATGTGGTGTCGACCCCATAGTTTCGGATAAAAATTGCAGGAACTCTCAGGAAGGTATCAAAGTTTAAAATTTCCATTAACAAATTCAGGTCCTAATGACTTTTTAAGAATTACAGATAATTCCATTAGCAAACACAAGTTTCAAGGATTATAAATTCAGTCAAGGGATTAGACTCCACAAGTCTTTCAAGAACTATTTAGTTTCTCTCACACATTCTCTACGCTGGTGTAGAATTAAGATTAAAATGCAGGCAATCTATACATATAATAAAATCGTAACGAAGCCAAATCTGTACATTAAATATTTTTTGGAAAATCTTATTGAAATAGACATAATTATCGATACAGAGGCCGAATCTAGTTTTTAAAATTTTTGTCTGTCTGTCTGTTACCGCATCACAGAAAAACCACTGGAGGGATTGTGATGAAATTTGGTATGATGATAGCTGGTTATCCGGGTTAACATATAGGAACTTTGTACCGCGGGAAAATATCTCATTTCTGAGAAAAAGTATAAAAAGTACATTGTAAGAGTATACTTAATATGTAAGACCTAAGAATTTTCTGTTTTGGTCATCTGAACGCGGACGGAGCCACAGGCAATGCTAGTTTTAAATAAGCATAAATATTTAATACAAAACACATGATACAAACTATTCATTTATATATTTTGTAAAGCACCAAGTACCCACATAGTTTCAATTACCTAGTAACATTGGCTCTACACATGGCGGTAATTAGGCAGGTATCCTGTTAGCGAGGATTGCGATAGCCGATAAATGAGATATGCGATATTGGTTAACGTTGACTCACACTTGATATATTGACCTGTTACATTTAAAGTACCTATCGTTGTCTAGAGCTAATCCATACTAATAGATATTATAAATGTGAAAGTGTGTTTGTTTATTTGTCCTTCATTCATGTCGAAACATAGTGAAGAATTGGCGTGATTTTTATATGTGGAGAAAGTTGGAAGGCTGGAGAGTGACATAGGCTACTTTTTACCGCGGGAGATCATCTCATTCCCACGGGAAAACACGTTATAATACAACCCCAAAAAATATTAATGATCAGAATTACATGAAACTTGGTATTAATGCTCTTTAATACAATTAAATAAAAACGTGTTTTAGGATTATTCAAAATTCATCCCAATAAGAGGGTAAAATAGGGGATGAAAGTTTGTATGAAACCTACCTTTTTAGTTTTTTTTTTTGTAGTTTTAGCGCGAGCGAAGCCGCAGGTTCTATATTATAATTTATATCATATATCTAGTACATTAAGTCCATTTGTATGTAAATAATTTTTATTTCAAAAAACTCAATAATATAAATACGTATTACTTAAAAAAATATATGTGATCTAATTAAATATTTGTCCTAAGGACTTGATTTCGGGACCTTAAGCGTAAAATGAGATATTATTAATTAAACCTTTTTGCTTTCAACTTTTTTACGTTTTTTAGTCTTTAAAAATAAAAATCCCTAGTTAAGATGAAATAAAATAAAAAAACGAGGATTGAATTCTAAAAATAGTTTTATTACAAAAAATACCTCTATAACTAAATACATTGGCGATCGTGCAAATTTACAAACATACAACATGGCTTATTTATTATTTATATTTATATATCTATGGTATTAAACATTTTCAATTATTTATGTAGTACTATCCAGTTTGCTTTAAATATCATGGTATAGAAAACAACGTTTTTACATAATATACGAGTAGATTACGTGTATTTTGGCACTGTTTTGTTAATGATAATGGAGGAAGTGCACATTTAATAAGATCCTTTACAATTAACTATAATAATATTATGCATTATATAACAAAAATATTTCGTACAAGTTAAAATAACGATTAAACAATACTTTGTTCGTGATATCACATAACGCTAATGCTAGGGGAGCCCAAAGGGGATTTTTGCAGTTACTCAAGCGCGGCAGATTAACATAAGTACCTCCACCATAATATAAGTTCTCTACATAAGGGCGCGCATCTAGGTCAGCCGATCAAAATATTTTGATAAAGTAGGAAATACTTGAAACCATCAGATTAAGGTATGGTGGTCTAATTACATGCTGGAAAGTATGCAATTAAATAATCTGCCGATGTGCCTAAGCCGAAGATGCAAAAAATAACATAAGCTTTATAGTCGATTTTTGCCTCTTCGGCTTGTGCCCTTATATAGAGGACTTATATTATGGTGGAGGTACTCACAGAGTGCAAGGAATCCCCTCTTATTATAATCTGCCGCGCTTGAGTAACTGCAAAAATCCCCTCTTGGGCTCCTCTACTATAAATACGTACTAATATTAATTATTATGTCAAATATTATATGAACTTAAATTAGAAGGAACGCTTTGACTGAAACATTATTAATAAACATGCCATGTTCATACTTATAACATTAAATGAATTCTGTGATTAAAAATACCTACCATATATTGTAATTATTATATTCAGGATAATAAATCAGAACTATTAGAAAATATCATGTCTGTATGTTGGTCCTCATTATTCTACTGGTCGTTCTAGTGTTTTGAGGATTAGATCGATAGTTTCATAAATAAGAAAGAAAAAGAGTTTCGATGGAAATGAAAAAACGTAGAAGAAGAATGTGTTGTCATGATAAAAAAAACTTTCTCTAGTACGTAGCGGATTTTAATTGAAAATAAAGAGGAATATTATTTTTCTAGAGTCAAAACACGCGAGCAAAGATGGGGGAAAGTTAGTAGTTTAATAAATTAACGAGCTTTTATTTTTTCATTTTAAGATTTCAGGTGTATAAATTGAGTACAATTGACAATATCACTCGATTAAGGGGCGTATTATTTTCGAGAAATTTGACACAAAATGTTTTTTTTAACTTAGTATAAGTTACTATAGAATAAACTATTCCAAACAAACTATTTACAATTCTGCAGTTCAAAATTATATTGATGTTTTAAAATGAATGAATGAATGAGTGAATAAATGAATGAATGATGAATGCACGACGACAATTTTTATTTATTTTGATTATTGCAAAGTTTGGCACGTTTATTAATAAAGATATGTAAGCTTATCATTAACACTACTAACAAAGGTGTAAGTCCGATGTAAATGCCAATAAAAGGGGAGATTTACGAGATTTCAAACTAAATGACAAAAACATTATCATGGAATAACAATAAAATTTCCTATAATAGTTTCAAAAACGTTATAAATTAATAAGCAAATTTAATGTCATTTTTTTTTTCAACACGATTCAAAATTTTATTCAATAAGATTACAAAAATCAAAATATATACATGTAAAATAGAAGAACAAATATAATATAGAATCTTAGTGCGTTATTCGTTTATCATATTGATCATATCATGCTAATAATCATCATATATTATTAGAAATGTCTTTTATTATGTATCGTTATAACAAATTAAGGATTTGTGATTGATTTATTGGTTTATATCAAAACTTCATCACTTTGTAAATCCAACTTCACCTTCTTTGGTAACGAACATTTTTGTACTCTTTAACTATGTAAGAAAATATAAATTGTCTACTCAGACTAAACAATTTTAAAGACGTTGTCCGCCAAAAAAATCTCAAAGTAAAAAATAGTAGCATGTTTCGCTATTTATACTACTATTTATGATATTGCCATACATTTTTTGTAAAGAATAAGGATGATTTTATATAGGCTTTTGTGGTCGATTTACAATTTTTTAAATAAAATTATATTATTTTGTTATTTTTAAGCTTTCCTTGAAAGAGAGATTGCGTAACATTAGCTTTTTTTTCTTTATTATAATAAAGTTCGTTTGCTGTTTTTATTTATTAACCTTTATTTACTTATCACAACAATGAATATTCTATCAATGTTTGTATTCTGTTTCAAAACATTATATATTATTTTAAAACATTATCGTTTATCTTCATGTTTACTTCTATGACACTGTCTATATTATTACTTAGTCTGAGGTTAACTATTAAAGAAAAAAATTAAAAAAAACTTACACCTACCTATTATAATATTGTTCTTCAGTGATAATTGGAATGACTTTTCCTTATAAATTAAATCAAAACCCTGTGCAATTATTTCGTAGCCTTGCTATTAAATTAAAAAAAATACTATTATCCCCCTAAATTTGACTATTATGCATTGTTAAAAAAGCCTTTAAAATTTAATAATAATTAAATCTATAAAAAAAATCAGATATGCCTAATATTAAAAAAAAATTGCTACAGATCGAAACTACATAATTGCTACTTTCTAGATCATTCTATTGTACCAATTAATTATAAAAAAATAAAACTGAACATGATTTAAAACAATTTAGTAGTAAAAGTCTTAAAATACTGAATGTGGACTGTAAAAGCGAAGATTATATTAAAAAAAGTCTTAAACGGAACATCTATTTGTCTTAAAATAATAATTTTAGTAAATAAAACACCAAAAAGTTTCCCCACCAACAGACCAAATATACAGAACAATTTACCATTCAAAAACATTGAGAACCATCTAGAAGATTCGAGATCAGCAAAGTAAACTAATATTGCCATTATCGCTGCCCAATAAAAGTAGCCTATTTAGTGGTAGAACAGACATACAAGTGAGCACGCCTTTGAACGTGTCAGATCTTAATTTTGTACTAGAGAATGACGCGTCTTGGTCCAAAGAAGTGTGTACACCGATGCGGTTGTTGGTGGTACCGGATATGAGTTCGTTGTAGTACACGGACAGACAGTGTACTGGCTCTGTGCTGCCCCTGAGTTACACAGAAAATTCATAATATATACCTAAAATCAGCAATTGTCAGGGCTCGTAACCGGTTTATTCCGGTTTAAAAAAACGGTTAATTTCGGTAATGTATATAACTCATCGCTCGTTCATTAACCGGTTAATAAAAACGAACGGTTTAGTAAGCCGTAATAATATAATAATAATGGTGATCGGTTTTTAGAGAAAGGTTAGATTTAGGTAAATAAACCAGTTAATTCATTCATAGGAAAGGTAAATGTATCCTTTTACTAAGCAGTCCACCATCAGCAAATGTTTGTCAAATGTAAGCAAACAAAAACTCATTTTAACCGGTTTAATTCGATCATGTCAACTAAATTCGTCAAAAACCGATTTCCGGGTAATAACCGGTAAAAGAATGTAATCGAAATATTAAGCCTTTTTAAGAATTGCTTTTATACACTTACTTAAGATGCGCTATCAGTTCGCCATCATCTGCCCTCCACAGCGCAGTCACCTGGTCCAGGCCCGAACTCAGCACGCGGTGGTCGTCCACTGCGGCCACGCGGAGGACCTACATACAGTAAATATAAGTACATATAGAAAAATACACCTGTCAGATTACATTTATAGGTAATTTTCGAAAATATTTAGGTATGTTTGTCTAAAAATAATTACTTTTGTACTCACAACATTCAATATTAAGAAGATACCGTGTAGTATATACAAAAACAAATCTAAAAAGTTTTCTTTGAAGTCTAAAGAAGATATACAAACACTGAATAAAGTGCTGTTAAAGATTAAAGCGAGCAATGAATCAGCAATGAATCAACAATGAATATTTATCATCTATTACACTATTATTATAAATGCGAAAGTTTGTATATGCGTGTGTACTTCTTACTCTTTCATGTTGAAACAGCCGGGGAGAATTAGATAAAATTTTGTTAATAAATACACTATGACCAAAATAACACACATTCAATAACAACAATAAGAACACACTCAAGCAAAGCGAGAATAAGTCGTCTAGTCTACACACACACACACAAACCACATACTAATCCACTCCCACACATACGCACACACACACACACAAACACACACAACTCATACCCCCCCCCCCCCCTACTATTCTTTACTCCTACAACCCGCACACGCGCGCCCACGCGCGCCCACGCACTGACCTCCCCGTCGTGCGCGCGCCAGGTGGCGCGCGGCGTGCCGGTGCGCAGGTCGAGCAGCGCGAGCGCGCCGCTGGCCAGCCCCGCGCACGCCCAGCGCCCGCCCGGCGACACGCACATGCAGCGGATGAACGACGTGCCGCCGCTCGCCACCTGCGACATCACACGGATCGTTAAGCTTTATTTGTAACTAACACTGTAATAACCTACTTCTAATTAGGATCGAGATAGAAGATTTTTTTGTAATATTAGTGTAAATAACAAGTGAATATATATACCTTCAACTCATAGAATCTATTCTCGCGCGTGTCCCTCGCGTCGAGCACGCGCAGCGTGGCGTCGGTGGTGGCGGCGAGCACGGCGCAGGCGGGGCCCGGCAGCGTGCGCACGATGCTCACCGCCGCCTGCGACCGGCTGCTCTCTAACTGTAGGGGGTACGAGCTTCAATAAAAAGCTTCACAATTTGGAGAACAATGTGGACTAAAAACCAAAATTAATTCGCCAAAAATTCCGAAAAGATACATAGATCTATTTAAAATATCAAATGTTCGCGTAAATCTAAGAATGTATTAAATTGGAACAGAGTTTCGCATTACTCACTACTTATTTTCATATGCAAACTATCATTATTACATCATGAAAGGCTCATTATTTGCAAAAAAAAACAAGTACCAGGTATAAAATTCTCTACCTTTATATGGAACACTCTCCTAAATAAATTACTGTTTAAACGACAAGATGCATACTCAATAATAAACTTAATATAAAAATAAAATCCAACTGTAACAGGTATTTCCTTACGTATATTTCGAAAATTTCTTAAAATAAAAAAAAATCTCACCTGAGAAACAACACTCTCCATGAAGGGATCCCAGATGTGAACAACGGAATCCGTAGAGACGGCGAGACGCAGGGACTCTAAGAAGGTAAGCGAGACCACGCCCTTCTTGTGCCCCGTGTACGTCCAATTGCATTGGGTTGTTGCGTTACCGTCACCCTGATATCAAAGAACATACAGTATTATACACCATGCCATCTTCTCATCTAAGGTATTATAAGATAATATCATCCTCTTAAATAAAACTATATTATCGGATTTTTTCGCTAATTTATTTTAATTTTTGGTTCCCGACGTTAAATTCGCGAAAAAATCCGATCAGATAGTTTTATTTAAAATCTCAAGTATTCGCGTAAATCAAAAAAAGTATTAATATCATCCTCAATAATTATATTCTATACGCAAATTTCATAGCAAACATAATTTGTCACATTTATAGCTTAATAATTAAAAAAAGAGGTCTAACATATTGCTCTCCGACAAAAAACTATTAGATTACGAAACATGCGTAAATATTACAATCGTATATTTATTTTTACGTTTGTAAATATAAAAATTAAAACCCCTATAACCTGTACAAAATAAATTTAATTTGATTTGACTGTGAGACAGGTTTTTTTTTAATTTTAACCAATAAATATCTCATTAGATATCAAAATAAAATAACCTTCACATTTCTAATATTTTTACCACAAAACCATACCTGATTCCTCAAAGACCAGAGCTTGACAGTCTTGTCCTTGGAGCCACTCATGAAGCTGTTCTCGTTGTCGAGGCAGTGTATGGACTTGACGGAGTGCGAGTGTCCCGCGAACGTCTGCAGCTTGATCTGCTTCAGGTTGAACCGCGTGTCCTTGTCCGCGCGACCGATCTCGTGCTCCCAGTAGATTAGCCAGTCACCACGAAGATGTCTGCTGAATTACTTTATAACTAATAACGATTTTTGGGGACATATTTTGATTTTCTGTTCCCACATCGATCACTTGATATGAGAACCAAAAATCAAAATAAATTCACGAAAACGTCCGAAAAGATAGTTGTATTCTAAAATGTTGAACATTCGCGTAATTCCAAGAAAGTATTACTAATAACTAATAAGGATTTCAAAAACATTTTGAAAGCCTATTTCATTATTATTGGTGGATTTCTTTTGTTAAATTTTATATGTTCAGTCCCTTGGAGTATAACATATCATTAAAAACTAAAATAAAGTAATGAAAATCGGTTCTCAATTGACCAAGATATGCACACAGAAATGTTCACACAGAATTTAGAATGATTGAATAATTTAAAATAAATATAAATAACATAACAAATCCTTATCGGTACTCTTTATGAAATTCAGTTTGTGTTTTTAATAATTAGGATAGGTGAGATACTACAAATAACGCATATCAGACATATTACAATCATATATTTATAGAATATCATTTAAGGAAAGAATATAATATTATATATCAATTTTGTCAGACAATAACAAAGGTTACCATGGCAACGAACATACATACATTTTTTCGTAACGCATTCACCAGCTTACCCCCCAAGTCAAGCGTGCGTAAAGAGGTTTCACTTTAAAAAGCTAACTCACCTTTCGCTCTTGACGGCCGCGTCGTTGTAGGCGACGACGCCGAAGCCGTCGCGCTGGTCGCTGGCCACGTCGATCCTGTTGCCCACCAGCGTCACGTTGGAGCCGAAACTGTTGCTGAAGCTGGAGCTGGACAGCTGGTCTGCGTCCCCTCGAGGGATGTCGATGCTCTTCTTGCTTATTGGCTCGTCGCTGAACGATGACTGGAACTTCTTGTCTTGATGTGTGTGAAGTGTTGAGCTGGAAGGTAATTTATTATTGGTCAACTAGTTTTAGGTTCCAGTGGACAAAGAATGGGATATTTATAGACTTAGGCTTTCTTCATACCGAATTTCATCATCACTCAAAGCTTTGTTGAGCCGTTTCCGCATAATGAAAAAACACACAATGATTCGCTAAGTCATTCACTCACAAACTTTGGCATCTCGTATTATAGAATTAGTGTCAAATTGCATATTTTGTTATCAAAAATACCATTTTTTATGGTTAACGGTTACCCCGCCTAGATGGCTTCGACGACTACGCCCGTATGGATTCATAGACTACGACATTAGCGTAATTAAGGTGTACTCATAGAAAATCAAAAGAAATCTATACATATAATAAAATTGTAACAAGCCGAATCTGTACATTAAATATTTTTTGGAAAATCTTATTGAAATAAACATTATTATCGATACAGAGGCCGAATATATACTTTTTAGAATTTTTGTCTGTCTGTTACCGCATCACAGAAAAAGTACTGGAGGGATTTTGTTGAAAGCTGGTTATCCGGGTCAACATATAGGATATTTTTTACCGCGGGAAAATATCTCATTTCTGAAAAAAATACAAAAACTGCAATGACTCTCATTTTTCATATACTAATATGTAAAACCTAAGAATTTGGTTTTTGGTCATCTGAACGCGGGCGGAGCCGCGGGCAATTTCAGTGTATGTACTATAAATTTATCTAAACGAAATCGACATAAAAATAATAAAAATGAGTCACGTGCTCACTTTTAACACAACACAAACACCCTGTAAGTCATAACACTACCTTATACTAGGAACACACTTAATATACATACCTCAATATGTAACTTGACATTTGATTTTATTTTATTAATGAAATAATACTGTCTATTTACAATGTTCTATATACATACCCTAATAAATGTGTCTGTCGGTATTTAGAGCAAAGACTGCGTATAGTATCGCTGTTTTTCAGACACCGCTCTAGCGCCTCCGTGCCGATGACTCTGGCAAATTTTGTGTAGGAGTAATATGCGAGTTCCTCATCAAACACAACTAGAAGTTCTTCTTGCGCCTGAAAAAGTATTTAAATATTTGTTTGTTTTCTTGTTTGTTCTTAATAATAAATATATTAACTATAATATAATAATGTGATGCATGAGAATGTATTTAAAAACAAATTTCAAGTTCGAATAGTAGAAGCCGAAGAATAATATAATATTTTTTGACTTTTAATTGGTTGCTATTCTAAATTACTTTTTTCAAATTTCAAATAACTATAATAATCTACAAATAGGCTACTTTTTATCACGGAAAATGTACGGTTCCCGTGAGATAGGTTTGTTTTTGTTTTCCTAGAGGTGAAGCAAACAACTCACAGAAAGCGTGGCGACGTCGTGGCGGTCGGCGGGCGGCGGCGTGCAGGCCAGCTCGGGCAGGTCGGCGCGCACCACGCGCCCGTCGCGGATGGCCCACTCCGCCGTGCTGCCGTCCCTGCATATCTCCAGGTATCCTTCCAGCTTTGAATCTGTTGACTCCGGTTCTGATGACTGGAAATAATACATTATTAATCTTTTAAAAAGTTCAAAAAAACTCACGTTCACTTGTATTATTTCATTTCTACATTTCAAGAAAATATTTAAATGGGTTTCATTAATTGTGTCCAGAATCGTTAATATTGAATTTATAGTCAATTTGGTAGGAAATGATTTTCCGTATAAACACACGTTTATTTTTATTTTTCAGTGGACAATACTGTAAATGATTATTTTATTTTATTAGGTAAATCGATCTAAAGGATTGATTTTGTTTTTAGTAATCTGTCAGACAGAATTTACTCGTAAACTTACCTTATCATAATTGTTCTCATCATGCTTGGGCCAATTTTCAGTTTTGCCCGTTGCTTTGTCGAAAGCCAAAAAGAACCTAAAATAAACAAATGTAATTTTTTTTTGTTCTTAGAGAACAATTGAACAATATGTTATCATTTGCATTGTTTATAGCTAGTAACACGGGCTCATAATTCTCTAGATACCGAGTGGTCATTAGATAGGTTTTTACACTATAACAACTGCCGCTACTATCGCCAAACTTCTAACATTTTTTATAGATTTGTGGAAGAGTTCTCCTGTTTACCAAAAATAAAACCGCAAAAAATCCTGAAAATACAATTTAGTTTAAAATGCCAAATATAACAGTAAAATATCGGTAACATAAAGACAGATGGATATGTCATAACGAATCCGTTTCAGCTTATATTATACTCTATTCACGGAGTAAAAGATGCAAAGCGCTTTCTCTGCCCCAGATTAGCATAAAAACTGATAAGGACAGAAAACTGTCTAGCTCCGCCCACTAACGCTTGCAACTGGTTTGAAATCATAGGGCTCATTCATGTTGCTAATAATTTGTAATAAAATAAAATCAACATAAAAATAAAATCAACATTAAAATTAACTGTATTTTTAAATATATATATATATATATATATATATATATATATATATATATATATATTATTTATTAATTTTCGCTTTCCGACGTATCGCTGTCATCTCCTACATTGATAATAAATCAGATAACTACACGAGAGACGTCTAAACAGTACGGAATGCAACGACTGACAAATTATGACTTGCATTGTAATCGCGGCCTAAGCGGCTTATCTGCAACTAATCACGTGGAAGCACAAAATCTCAGTACTTGGTTCATTTGGCGAACACAGTATAGAGAACCCTACAAAATCGTACCTCTGCAAAGCCGGCACGCAGAGATGCCGGCGGCTCATCTCGGGCCCCACGCGCAGCGCGAGCGCGTGCAGCGCGTCCGCCAACTTGCGGGCCAGCGCGCGCCGCGCCACCGCGCCGCTGGGGTACGCACAGCGCGCCGTCGACGCCAGCCGCAGAGACGGCTGCAGGATGGACTTCAGTAGGGTATCCTAGGATGGAATGGTTGACATGAATTGCTAAGTTGAAATTAATGTAACTTCAATAATCTTTAAGTAAGCTGTGAAGAATATATGGACAGACGGACTTGACGAAATTATAAGGGTTCCGTTAGTTAAAGGTTAAACCTTATGGAGCCCTGGAAATTAAATGTTGTTCGTTGTTAAACGCATCACTTGAAAACGATTGGACTGATTTAACTATGTTTCTTGAAGTGGAGAAAATTGAAGGGCATAAACTGAAACCTGTTTTTTTCAACAAAAGATTAGGCAAAAAACAATATAAAACTTAAACCTAAAAGTTTAATGATTAAACTACTGGTTACATTTACCTGCAGTTGTTCCATAACTTTAACATCGGACATGAACGGCAAGAGATATTTAATTAGCTGCAAGCAGGCGACAACTCCACCTTCCAATGGGGTCGACAGGCGACGCCTACAAGACGCAATCAGTTCACCCATGTGTGGCAGATATTGAAATATTATTAGCTGTTCTCCATACATGGCTAAAAATAAATAAATAATTGTTACTTATATATAAATAAACATTAAGCCTTCAACTTCTAAGCCACTTTTTAGAAAAATGACGTAGCTCTAATAAGAAATGGAAAAAACACTCTGGCATAACATAAGTTATATAAGTAATACCTAATAACTTATACATATACACATTGCTAAAGAAAAATATTGCAATATACATTTTAGCAATCACTTACCGACAATAGAAGTAAGACATTTGATGACTTTCATTGCGTTCCTGTCTCCAACAACTTTGCTGTTAACTATTGATATTTCATCAAATTCATCCTTGTCATTAGTCTCCCAAGAAGCTAAATTTTCTTTACCGATATAGCATAGTGTGAGCATTTTAAGCAAATTTCTCGTTATATACCTACACGTGAGCACCGGACCCAATCTATGTCCTAGCCAAATAAGACTTTCTGAACTCATATCCGATATTTTATATTCATCATTATGATTTTGGTCGTTTTCTTCAATATGTATTTGTGATGTTGTAACTGTTTTATTTTCCACGTTAGTTTGTAATTCTAAACTTTTAATTTCACATAAATTAGGCTCATTTCTGGATGGCACACCTTCAGATTTGGATTCCTCATCAGCAAAGTGCAAGTAACTCGTAAACATTGGTTTGGGTATATCGATGGTAGGTGACATGGGCAGCTTATTGGAATCTTGGAATGTATCTTGGCTTTCATCTTTTACAACTGTCTCACTGGTGTCTTTCCAATTTGTTGCTGAAAAATTTGTGAAAAACCTTGAATTGCCAGGTGAAATATATTCTGCTGCTGGAGAAGGTGTTTGTAAGAGATTAGAATCTTTATTATTTGAATCTAAAGAGCCCGTAGGAGATTTACTTCTACTACAGCGACTAGGATTTCTTTCTTTGTCATTTTCGAAATGGAATAACTCATTTTCACTTCTACTATCTTGGTCTTTCTCTTTCAAAACTTCATTAACTTCAGCTATACTTTTTTCTATAATTGGAGTACTAACGTGTTCAGAACCGTAGGACGTATCAGGCGAAAATATATCAGAAGTAGTCGTTAGAGCGTTTTTAAGATTATCATCAGAATATCGTGGTTTCTTATTATAAATTGCACGACTATGGCAGAGATGACCGGGAGAGCCAGTTTCTGGAGTAACATCTTTATAGCCTCCAACTGCCTCTACTAAATGTTGGGTAAAGTTATCCAAGAAGCATTGAAGACCGAGTCTGACCATCAATTGCAATAGAAATATATGGTGATAAAGCTTTACATATTTTTGTTTGCTCGCAAGACCAGCGCTCTTGACAGCGTCGACGTCTGTGAGCTTATGCTGATCAGATTTGTCGTAAAGGTAATCGTCATCTTCGTATAAATTCAAAATATATCTTAAAAGTTTATTTATAGTTTCTGCAGGCCCTAACGCCTTGCTTATTACATTGAATAAATGCCACGCAGCGAGCACGGACGTCTCTTTGTTTTCTAATAACTGTGTGTAATGCTGAAGAAATATATCAAGAACATTGAATTGGTTTTCGGTGGTTACTTGATTTAAAAGTATACCTAAATGAGTGATACAAGCTTGTATTTTTCCTTCAGCAATTTTCTGTGTAAAATACAATTTAGTTTTGTCTATATTTTGATATTTCTCACACTGGGTGCCATCGCATTCGTATGTGTATAGAATGTGAAGTTCGTTGTTAGTCAATTCGTAGTCATGTAAAGTACTCAATAAGTTATGGAGAATACCGAATGTCTGTGGAAATGGTATCAAATGCTGCATTATCAATGGTTGTAATAATTGGGACGGCGTGGGCGGCGGTAAACCTTTATCTGTCACGACCATTTTTTTCGTAGTGTCCTCTTTTGACACCAGGTCACTTTTACCGCTCAAACTAGGAGGTTCAACGCTCAAAAGCAAAGATGCGATATAACTCACACACTTAGGCATCGAATTAAAATTGTATTTTAATATTGTGCGACAACACTTATATCTTTCTACAAAATTATCGTTAGTTAATCTCAAAGGACGCATATGAGTGTGTAGGAATATTTCAACAATAAGGCACCCTATAACAAGCATATCTTGTCTTCTACTTTCGGTAACAAATTGTTTGTACACAGCCGCGTCTGTCGTATAGCGAGTGTTAAACATTCTGTTTTTTCTTTCTTTTAAAACGTTTTCCAAATTATCTTGATTGAACTTTTTGAGATAACCCTGATCATAAGACGCTAAAAACATGTGATTGGTAAAAGCGGTTTCTTCGGTAACATCTTTAGACGTTGCATTTCCATTCTCTTTTGTATCCTGATGTACTGCGCATAAATTCAAAGTTACATTTTCCTTTTGCTTTCCCTTTTCCTCAGCTTTACTAAAAAAGCATTTAGTTCGGAAGTTATCTAAGGTCTCGAGAGCCAGTATAGATGCAGCAGGGTTAAATTCTTTGGGCAAATATATAATCCCCTTGCCAAGTTCAGATTTTTGGACCCTATAGTGTCTCGAATGGGAGGATGCCCTACTTTCACTAATAGATACATCATCATCTTGACTCTTACATAAAGAACGTGCTCTAGAACTGCTTTTTTGTCGACGGGTTCTTTGGGACGGAACGCTCAAACGCGATACATGCTGTGGAAGACTACTGGACTCTTCTTCATCGTCTGATACCTCATCAGAACTGTCTCGGACGGATTTTTCTACAATAACATAAGATTATATTATAGTATGCTACTACTAGAAGTTACTAGAAAAAAAAAACTACTAGAAGTTATAGCAAAAGATTCAACATATAATATAAGGAAAACACTGTTAAAAAGCATTTAATTTATTATTTAAAAAGTCTATTAACTATTAATCAATATATTATTTGTAAAATTGAAACTTCGTACATTTAACATTAAAAAAGGGTAAATCTTATATTAATCACATAATATTGATCAATTCCAATTTAAAACTGAAAAAAATATCTAATGTAGATATCTATCCACTAACTAGAATCTCTCGGGACCGTCCATCGCAACCTAGGCGGGGCGGGCGGCGGCGCCCTCATGCGGCGTGGTGGGTGAGGCGCCGTCAGCAACTGTACCGTCGAACCCCGCCTTGTACGCGTATGTCCGTCCACTAGGGACAGACACACATTCTTTGCTTTTACTGCTGCCGTACCTGAGAGTCTAAAAATGTTTACTTATCAAATATATTGTTAGAATTTGTTTCTCGTTTATAGACAACTAACTAGAATTTATGGGGACCTCGCTTCGCTCAGATGTGTCCCTAGTTACCAAACATTAGTCTATATGTCCAATTTCATCTAAATCCATCCAGTTTCAACATGAAGGAGTAACAAACATACAAACACACAAAACTTTCACATTTATAATAGTAGTAGGTAGTCCGAGTAAGGACGAATTACGTAATTTTCTATTTTAATGAAATGGAAGACCAATTTTTTAATTTTTTTTAGAGAATGTTTATAATATCTTTAATGCTACCTGCATTAAAAAAACCTTATCGACTTTCTTGTGACAACATAGCAACAGAAAAAAAACCTTTGAAAAAATATAATATTATTATCAAGAGTACAATATTTGGGTGGACAATAATGAACATAACAATGGTTTTAGATATCATAATATTAATTATTGTAGTTTTGCTAACTTACTTGTAACCAAAGGTGATATCGATCCAATGATGGAGGTTTTCTGAAACGTGGGTACTTTCCAACGCCTCCCGATGTTTTGTTATGAAATCTTCGACGCATGTTGCCCACGACGGAAAACCTAGATCCTACATAAGCACAATATAAATTAAACGATGCATTAAATTAGGTAGAATAATCGTCTATGTAGTGACTAGCCTCTGCAGATCCGGAGCAGGGCTCGGAAACGCATTCAGTTTTTAAACCGGTTTTAATCATTAACCCCAAACCGAAAGTTTTCGTTACTTTCTTTAACCTGTTAAGACCCGGAAAATGGTTTTCGACGAATTTACTTAGGTTCCATTTATTTAGGTTCCATTATTAGATTGAACTTATTTAGGTTCTATAATCGAAATTATCCGGTTAAAATGAGTTTTCGCGCGTTTACATTTGGTGAATCTTTGCTAATGATGATTTTTTTAGTAGAAGGATACATGTACATACGTTTCTTACTTATGAATGAATTAATCGGTTTATTTAGTTATCAAACCCTAAGTCTAACTTTTCTCTAAAAATAACCGTTAATCATTTTTATGTCGGTTTACTAAACCGTTCGTTTTTAATAACCGGTCAATAAACGATGAATTAACCATTACATTACCGGAATTAACCGTCCTTTTTTTGGACCGGATCTGAGCCCTGATCCGGAGGTCCTGGATTCGAGTCCCGAGTCAGATCAAGTGTAAGTTTAATAAGTTATTCGTTTCCCTGTTAAGATATTCTCATATTACACCTCCGCGTCGTAGGAAAAGCACGTGCCGCGTTGGACCTACGCCTAATCTCTCACCGCGAATGATATTTTGAGATGGTTTAGTGAATAATGCACTTGTGTTAGCGCGCATACGCACTGCATTCCAGCACAGATAGCGAGTCCCAGCGAGATTGGCAGTTGCAACCAATATCGGTCAGGAGTAGCTTCATCATTATTATTATAACTTATATAAATTTCTTTTGAGTTTATGCATGAAAATAAATATGTGTTCTACATTTAAAGCTGATAAATTAATAGATAATGGACGCTTATAAACTAATGTAATATAAAAAGTATATTCACATTTAAAATTCATTCAAAAACCTTTCTTAGCAATAAAGGAAAATTTACTATTTTTTTTTTTATATTTCACAATGACAAGTACACTTAGAGAACTTTTGAATTAAGCTCATACTACCACAAATATTGTCATAAAATAAAAATAAACCCGCTGACTAATGCATAGAAAAGCTATTTACTTTAAATACAAAGTATTTACTCGTAAGTGTTAACTAAAATTCATTTAATCGTGTAATTCGTCACGTATTTCTAACGTGAAACCATAAAAATAAGATAGGGACTCCGGACTATCAAATTACAAACACATCGGGCGCCATATTATTATACAAATAAATATTTATATTACTATACAAATAAATATAGGCTCGTATTGATAAAGCATTTAATAAACTGGTTATAAACCAGTCCCCACTACATTTATTGTAAAGATAAATATAATAATTATATCAAAATTGGAGCAACGTATAACAAATGATCAATCCATTTATGTTTGTTTTCGGAATATTTTGTTACAATGTTGTATGACACTAATATAGATTTCGCAATCGTTACTATTTACACGTTATCAAATATGTCTATAAAGTAATTTAATCACTGATGTCAAATTAAATTCTATTGACTGTAATGATAAAGTGTAATCTTTATTTTTTGCTAGCTGTGCCCCGCGGTTTCGTTCATGTTTAATTTGATTATACATATATGCCTGTTTCATATACCTACCCTATTATAACACGATGAGTATTTGACCCAAGTTTCTGAGCTTAAAGCACTTAAAACATATAAACATCAGTTTTACAATAATGTATGGAAGTCTGCCCGATTTGTTGACATTTATGATTACTGCTCCGCTCCCTTGGATAGTAGCATGATGATATAATATAGCCTTAATAAACGGGCTATCTAATAAAAAAAGAATTTTTCAAATCGAATTTGTAGTTGCTGAGATTAGCGCGTTGAAACAAACAAAGAAACAAACAAAAAAACAATCAAACAAACTCCGTCTCTTTATAATATTAGTACAGATTTATACAAACAACAGGAAGAATACTTATAGTGTATGTTGGTATAATAATATAATCCTAATTACGAGTTTGGATTTTTTCATTACAAATATACCACATTTAGTAACAACACGTAGGGCATTAACAAAAACAATTTAAATTAATATTGTAAGAAAAATCGACAGAGAGCGAATAGGATGCTATTCCCTATATGCATATCGCTCATATTTTTCAATTTTTCTCATGTATATCTTTAACAATATGACGATGTAAACGACGAGTTGAAATTAAAAAAAAACATGTATATAGCCTGTTTATCAAGAAGCGTTGTATGACCTAGACTTAAAATGAAAGGAAAAACCGGCCAAGTGCGAGTCGGTCTCGAGCACGAAGGGTTCCGTATCATTATTATCTACCAAAACGGCAAAAAAATCATGTCTGTTGTATGGGAACCCCTTTAAATATTTATTTTATTCTGTTTTTTAGTATTTCTTGTTATAGCGGCAACGGAAATATATCATCTGTGAAAATTTCAACTGTCTTTCACGGTTCATGAGATATCGCCTGGTGACGGACGGACGGACGGCGGAGTCTTAGTAACAGGATTCCGTTTTACCCTTTGAGTACGGAACCCTAAAAATGGCTTAGTGGCTAGTATAGTATCATAAATAGAAACAAGGTTCTTATTAAACAACATTATCTAAGAATTTCAAAATATAAAATTAATGATAATATTGCTATTATTACGGATCGACGAGAAAACGATCATAACACTTATGTCGGGCTATTAATTGAAATAAATCATAGTCGTATCTAAGGTCAAATGTAATCCAGTACATATGTACGTTTACCCGTTAAGCAGTTGAATAAAACTAAAAAATCTATATTTTATCTATACATATAATAAAATTGTAACTAAGTCGAATCTGTACATTAAATATTTTTTGGAAAATCTAATTGAAATAGACATTATTATCGATACAGAGTCCGAATCTATAGTTTTTAGAATTTTTGTTTGTCTGTCTGTCTGTCTGTCTGTTACCGCATCACAGAAAAACTACTAGAGGGATTTTGATGAAATTTAGAATGGTGATAGCTGGTTATCCGGGTCAACATATAGGATACCTTTTACCGCGGGAAAATATCTCATTTCTGAGAAAAAATACAAAAACTGCAATGTAAGAGTATACTAATATTATGTAAAATCTAAGAATTTGATTTTTGGTCATCTGAACGCGAGCGGTGCCGCAGGCAATGCTAGCTTACACAAAATATTAAAGAATGCGTATAAGAAAGTGTACACGCGCCAGAAGTAAAACTTCTGTAGGTTATCGGTACTCTTTATGAAATTCAATTTATGCTTTATTTATACTTATAGTGAGATACTAAAAATATCGCATATTAGGCATACTACAATCATATACAGGGTGGCCGGTCAATTGACGTCATAAAAAAAAATTTAGGTCCGGTATGTTGTGGGGTATACGAATCACCCCCATGTATGTTACGCGATTTTTTATAGTTTAGGAGTTATGAATTTTTTTAGATTTTTTGAGAAATTTCGACTTGACTATCTTAAAAAAATTCTAAAAAAAAAGAAAAAGACTTTAGAGTTTTATTTTTTTTCAACTGAATTCGCATGAGTTGTACTTTTATGCATAAAATAATTAGCTTCGTACCTTTGATGAAAGTTATGAAAATGTTGGTCTAAAGTCAAATTTTTACGTTCCGTGAATTAGGACTTAAATTTTCAACTATAAATTACAAATCTAAACAGGTGACCTTATGATTTCTTAGTTATTCTTAAAAATGCGGCAGATTTTCAGCTTTCATAATAATAAAAGAAAAGCTGTACTTAAGAGGATTGTGAACCTGTAAATTTTCATACAAAAAGCGATAACGTTTTTCCCCCCTTAAACATAGTCTAATTTTCATAATTTTTGGAAATGTTGTAGATATAATCAAAATCTAGGTCCGTACGTTTTTATTTTTTTGAAATATTGCGTACGACAGAAGTTATTAGCATCTAAATATCTATATTTTTGACCTAAAAACTTCCTCCAGCGTTTTTATTTGTTTAAATTAAACTAAACTGAATTACAAAAAAAGGAAAACGTACAGACCTAGATTAAGGTGTACTGAATCTAATGAGACCAAAATCGTCTCATTTCGTTAATGTTTAGGGGGGTGAAAACGTTATCGCCCGAAACAATATTTCAAAAAGGAAATGTAGGTAATTGAGTCTAAGACTTGCAACTCTCTCTATCGCACCATACGGGTCGGGGGCAGGGGCATATTTTAGACTGTAGTGATGTTGAAGGTGCTATCGATATTATTATCTCCTAGGGAGGAGAAGGTAATATCGATATATCGATCGATACTGAAAGGATTCAATCCAAAGTTTAGAATTTTATTATACTCGTATGTATAGATTGTAACTAAGCCGTATCTGTACATTAAATATTTTTTGGAAAATATTATTGAAATAAACATTATTATCGATACAGAGGCCGAATCTATAGTTTTTTGAATTTTTGTCTATCTGTCTGTATGTCTGTCTGTCTGTTACCACGTCACAGAAAAACCACTGGAGGGATTTTGATGAAATTTGGTATGGTGGTAGCTGGTTATCCGGATCAACATATTATAGCATTACCGCGGGAAAATATCTCATTTCTGAGAAAAAATACAAAACTGAAAATATATATATATATATATATATATATATATATACAGGGTCATTTTTAATTTACTGAAGACCTTTTGGGAATATACTATTTACATCATAACAACAACCTCTGTAACAAGAAAAAAAAATATTTCTTAAATTTTCATTTTCATACAAAAATAAAAATATTTTCTATATCATCATCATCATTATATCTGGCCAAGTTTGAATGAGTAAGGACCACTTCCTACACCCCTCCACCCCTCGCCCTCCACCCCTCGCCCACCACCGGTCACGCGCTTTCTTTTGCTAATTGCTGGACTATTACCGTTTAGAAGGAGCAATAAAAATACTTTTATTTTTGTAAAA